CCAGCACTTGTTACAAATAAACTTAAAAAAGAAAGAACCGAACCAGAAGAGGAATATTTAGCAGCATATTGTATTAGGGAACATTTAGTACAATCTATAAAAAATTTTATCTATGCCATAACTGAGATTGCTGGATTTTTTAATATTCTGGAAAGGGAATTATCTATGCTTTGTAATATTCTTGACACAAAAATTGAAAGATATTGTAAAATAGTTAAACCAAAAGCCTTCCGAATTGTCAATTTATGTGACTTTTTTGTAAAAAACCTTCCTCACTGCACCAATCTCCAGGCAATCCTGATGACTGTAGCGAAAATTATGTTCAAAAGTGGCTTGCAACGCAGAATGGTTAGATATTATTACATATTTCTGCTGTTATTGGAGACATAGAATCTGTTAGAACTTTGTTGCAACAAAATTGTGATATTAATATTCGTGATAAAGATGGTAAAACAGCAAATGATTCAGCTATGTTAACTCCTCCTTTTATTACTTCACCAACTACTCCAAAAGAACCACCAACAAAGCTTATTGTTTGATCTGCAATTTTTAAAACTCCTAATATTTGTTTTATTACTAACATTTTCTTTAATTTTTTCTGTTTCTCTCTCAAAGATTCAACATTTTTTTTAGCACTTTTTTTTAGAGATATCGTCTCATCAATTAATAAATCTATATTGTCATTTATATCACAAATATTACTATCTATTTTTGATTCAATTTGATTATGGATAAACTCATAAACCTCTTTAACTTTCTTATTAATTTCTTTTTCATATTGAAATTTGCATTCTTTTATGGCATTTTTTTTACTTGTATCCTGCAATAACTTGGTTTTACTAACTATTAAATTTAAATACTTATTTATTTCAATTATCAAAATAGATTCTGATGCAGATTTGAGTGTATAAATCTTACTAAGAGTCCATGTATATAAATAATTTAGTGCCTTTTTGTATTGAATAAAATGTTTTTTTTCTTCGGAATGGGGATTTTCTGCGTATCTTTCAATACAGTTTATTAACAACTGATAGAGAGAAAGAAAATCAACATCATTTACTTCATTTTTTAATTTATGAAATAGATTTTCCAAATTTTGAAACTTATAACACAACCCTAGTGTAGTGTCATTTAGAAGTTTAATTTTGTAATA